ATTTTGAAAGTCTTCCGCCTTTCATCTTCAGGTTTGTTTGTAGTTATGCACAAAGCTACACAATGGGCTATCTGTGCTCTGCCCACCACGGGTATCAAAACCTGTTTCTAGCATTGTAAGTCCGCAGACATGCCACTGTGCCACTGGGGGGCTTGAAATTAAGCACAAAGCTACACGAGGGCTATCCGCGCTAGCTGTCCCTAATGTAGCAGTGTAAGACTAGAGGGAAGGCAGCTAGTCATCACCACCCACCGCCAACTCTTGGGCTACACTTTTACCAACGAATAGTGGGATTGACCAACACATTATAACGCCCCGCAATACGTAGGTGATAATACATAAAATACCTCCATCTCTTTCATATCTTCTGTACAATTTTAATACAATTGTTCCCAGTTAATTTCTTAATCAACAGACTGTTTATGAAAACAAGTGTAATTTTGCTTACCTGAAAAGCTGTAACAGTGGCCCATAAAAAGTTGTTGAAGTGATTACGATGACAAACACAGGTGACATTAGGGTTAAGCAGCTCCACACACGAGCAAGGCCCCCCACCATCAGCTCGGTGGCAGAACTTACCACCAAATAAATGCATGCCCAAACAGCTGGAAACAAAGTACCCAAAATCGTACGAACTAAAAGCTACATTTGCTTTAGATCTACACTACTAACACATAAAAAAAAAACATACACATATACTTTAAGTTAAAGTATCGAACATAGATTGTACTTCATGCAGTTACATTTCTTTCTGAAAGAAACAGACTGGAGTTCTATTAATGAACTGGAAATAAAAACAAATTAAAAATGACTTATTTGTAATCATTCTCTTAATAACTTCTCCTTGGAAAGTTTTTGTGTTACTTTCTTACTATTGCTTTAAGAGCATATTACAACGACATACTGTAAAAACAACTGTTGCAAGAACAGGGGTAATATTCAAACAAGATGGAAAAAAAAAACCCTACAGACTAGCATCCCCTACATTGTGCAATAGAAAAACAATAGCGTATAGACCGTGTGTAGGGCTGCTTCCCCTTATGACTCTTCTACTACTACTACTACCACCACATCAAAGTTTTAGTACATGTACATTTCAAGAAATGAGAAACTTATGTACCTGAAACACAGTCACTATAGCCCAAAGAAGGGAATCAAAGTTCTTCCGATCACACTGCACCATGCCATCTTCATCTCTTTCACAAAATTTACACCCAAAAAGGTTCATACCTAGAATACTGAATGGAATTTGGCAGTGAAATACTAGGCAAGCTAGCAAAAGAGTAAAGCCAACTAGTAAGATCAACTTTACTCAGAATACCTCATAAGTAAGAGTTCTCACAAGATGGGAATCATCTAAGCCTAGATTGTTAGTATTATATATATATAGTTACAATCATTCAACATGAGACAGAAAGCAGATACCTACTATAATTACATACTCACTTTGATATTTTTCAACCTTTCTAAGTTCTGGGAAAGTTTCATATAGCAGTGAATATAGTTAGTACAATAAGTACACATTTGGAATTTGTGCATTTACATTTTGGCTATATTTTGAGAGAACTAAAAAAATTATTCAACTTAAAATGTCACACTATGTGAGCCTTTAAGTGGTTCACACATACACATTTTACATTAACTCTGCATGACTAAAGCTTAGGAATCTATATCATAATAAAAGATATGTTTACTACATGCATATACCAAAACTCATTGCATTACTGATCATACATCGAAGAATGCCAAATACTTTTTTAATTTGTAGATTATGTGTTACTCTACTTCTATTTAATGATAGCATACACATGCATGAATTTTGTTTTGCAGGTAAACATTACTTAAATTACTTGAATGATTAAAAATATACATGTTTATACATATATACATATTCATAAAATGAATATAATTATGTATCGAAATTCTGCAGCTTTCCAAACATTTTGGTAATTAGTGCTTATTTATTGTAATTACCAAATTACGAAAACTTATCTTGAGGTAGGATCTTAATCCTTTGAGTTCTTTTAAGAGTTATCTTATGTTTAAAGACTGATTAAGATACTTTATATAAGCTACTGTAAGTTCCAAGTTGTTGACGATCAAGAAGGGAATAAACACACGAATATTAGGAAAGGGCAGAAAGAGTGTTAATGTAGAGATAATAGAGAAATGAGATGTACATGCACATACTATACTATTTTTCTACACTCCGTTGTTGTGCACTGCCAAAAATACTTATCCCTTACAAAATATTTGTTCCTTATTACTTGTCCAAATCAAACTTTCAAACTTGTGTTTCATTTTTCAGTAAAGTGTGATGTGATTTATACAGATGTAGGTATCAAAGGTACTGAGAGTATGATACGTAGATCATAAAAAAAATTTCAGGCTTTATGACGTTTAGCACCCTCAAAATCACAACTGATTCTCTCTTTTATATATTCAAGTGACAGTATTTTTTGTTTTGTTTTTTTAAGTTTCGCGCAAAGCTACACGAGGGCTATCTGCGCTAGTC